GTAGTGGTAGTAGTAGTAGTAGTAGTAGTAGTAGTAGTAGTAGTAGTAGTAGTAGTAGTAATAGTAGAAGCAGTAGTAGTAGTAGTAGTAGTAGTAGTAGTAGCTGTAGTAGTAGTAGTAGTAGAAGTAGTAGTAGTAGTAGTCGTAGTAGTAGAAACAATAGTAATCGTAACAATCAAAGTCTGGCCCTACGAGGGCAGCGCGGGGGGGCCGGGACCCTCCAGAGACGCCATGCAATTACAACGGATGCCAGTACATAGCGCAACAGGGAGCTGCTGGTTCAATCGTAACATCGCACTTAATGGCACTCGAATGCGCAGGACGACATGCATTCATTGGCATGGTCTGATCAATCATATCATCGTGCTGAGTTGAATGACACGCCACCAGTACAGCGACACATGGGCTACCACAACATGGACTATCGCGTGATAGCACTGTGAGGAAGTAGATCTTTAATAGTAGCGCATACAACAACACCACATATCAGAACAACCATACCACATCAGGGCAGAGTACAGTGTGGCGAAGCAAATAACGGCAAGGCAGAGCAGTGAACAGAAAAGGAGACCCCTCATACCACCAGCATCGAGCACACACCGAAGCAGACTGCCGCAGCGAGAATAACACCCTGATACTAAGCTCCCCCGAAGCATCCTGCACAACGCCCGAGGACCCGTCGGGGAGGGGGGATCTTCCTGCACAGGTCGGCCACCAGTAGCCCGCAGAAGCGGCGCGCTAACAACACTGCGCCTTGCGACTGACGCCTCGGGCCCGCGAGGCCCAGCGGCATGCCCGAGAACAGTACGCCCTGCGAGACTCTTTCGGAAGCGGTGGACCGGCGGACGGAGAGGGCGGCGGAGCGGGGGCAACGACGAGTGCCGAGGCAGAGCCCACTTGGGGACAGCCGACCCGCGACGAGCAGCTGGCCGCGGGGGGGTGGGGTCGCGGGCTCCGGGGCCCTCTCGCCGTGAGCAACCAGGAGGTCGGAGGCCAGTACTAGAACTAGTACTAGTACTAGTACTAGTACTAGTACTAGTACTAGGAGTAGTAGTAGTAGTAGTAGTCGTAGTAGTAGTAGTAGTATAGTAGTAGTAGTAGTAGTAGTAGTAGTAGTAGTAGTAGTAGTAGAAGTAGTAGTAGTCGTAGTAGTCGTAGTAGTAGTAGTAGTAGTAGTAGTAGTAGTAGTAGTAGTAGTAGTAGAAGTAGTAGTAGTAGTAGTAGTAGGGTCCTTGTCCAGCTGCTTGAGCGCCTCGCAGTCGCTGTCTGTGCACATGTGCCTCGTGATCCAGTCCCTCTCTCGCGCGAAGAGCTCCTCGGGCTCCCTCTCGTGGCGCTTGATGTCCTTCGCCCGCTGCCTCACGGCCTCGAACCTCAGCAGGGTGTGCTCGAACTCGCCGTAGGTGACGGTGCCGTCGCCGTCGTCGTCGTGGAAGAGGAAGGCATCCTCTGCCACCCAGTCCTGCTTCTCGTCCCTCACTCTCGACGCCTCCGCTTCCGCCAGGACCTGCGTCCACGGCATGTGGAAGCGAGCGTATAGCTGGCGGAAGAGCTCCAAGAGTTCGTCGTACGACAGGGCGTCGTCGAGATTTTTGTCCACCTCTCGGAACCTCTCTCGGATCTTCGCCCTCGCCGCCTCGCCCTTCAGTCCGACCCCCCACGGCTTGCCGAGGAAGACGTACGGCTGCATCCTCTGCAGGCAGGGCTCGTCCCGAGTATAGTGAGACAGCCCCCACCTTGCCAGAAAATTCTTCCACTGGTATATCGGCTGAGGGTCCTGGAACTGAAAAGTGCTTGCAACACTGCATCCGTCGTCTCCGCCCTTCCCCTCTGCAACATAGGTTTCATGGATGTAACCCATCGGGAAAACGACGCACGACCCAGGGTCCACCGTCTCCTCGTGTTCAGGTCGCCACAAGCTCGAGTGCCGGTATATCTCAGAATCATGGAAGCCGTAAGGCTGAAACGCGTTGGTTATATTTGGGAAAGCGCCGAGCCGCCACTTCTTGGATCCGCGGAGCTGCATGCTAATGGTCGTCTCGCAGTAGGCATCTGCGTGAGCTTGACTGCCGCCGTTCTCAAGGACAAACCAGAACTCGAAGGAGTCCTTCACCTCATTGTAATTCAATGCGCTCGAGTTCAGGAAATAAGGCACGGGGAACATACGTTGAATGTCCGTCTTCGTCTGGGGATCGTCCGTCTCGTCCTTCACGTGCCAGATGTACGGCCCAGAGAGGGGCTTCCCGCGGGACATGTGCTTCTTCGCCTTCGCGGTCGGCTTCTGCACGGAGTGCCAGTCCGAGTCGCCCAGGTTGATATGCTCCTGGCCACGAGTGTACTCCGCCTTCATGTGCTCCTTCGGCCACCGCCTGCCGTACTCCGAGCAGGCAAGCTCGCGAAGCTCCGCATCCTCCGGGACGCAGTCGTCAACGATGAACGGGTAACCGTGCCTTACCAGGTCCTTGAACTCATCCTGACCCACGTTCTTTACCCTGGTCATGGGCGCCGCGCTCTCTGGGCTGATGGTCTTCCACGACAGACCCTTGTAGTCTTTGAGTGTGCGGTGGTAATCCGCCAGTGCCCTCGGCTCGCTGGGGCGTGCCGGGATTCTTGTTGGCTGCCTGCTTTCCAAGACTGGCTCAGGACGGCACTGCCGAGCCCCTCTGGAGAGCTCGGCGGAACCATCCTGCATGCTACCGATGTTGTCATGGGGGAAGCGGGCCCTGGACACCCCGTTTTCTCCAGGACCAGCTCTTCATCACGACTCGTTCTTCGAAGGCCCCAGGGCCTTGGGAGGGCCCAGGAGCCCAAAACCGGCGCAAGAAATCCAGAACCCCTTCCCACCAGGACCTCTCTCGCTCAAGCCGATATCTGGGTAGATCTGGTGGAATCATCCTGTACGCAGCGGGTGCGGCGCTGGCATGGTGGCTTCAGTTGCATATTCTGGGGACCTTGTCTGTCATACAGCATCGCTATCCGAGTCGAAGCCTCGTCGAATCTGCGTCGAACCCGCGTTGGGCACAAGAAAAGACCACAGCGTGCAGGACACATACCGTCCAACGAAGATGCGGCGCAGGGTGGCGGGATCTGCCGCAGGCAGCACCGGATACTCTGTCAGGCCGGGTGCGCACAGGAGAGGGGGCAGGAAGGGTCGGGGGTCAGCGCATCACGGCTCAAGGCATGTGCGCGGACGAAGGGGGGGGCCAGGTGACGCGTTGAAAGAGGAGGCGAGGGCAGTGGGACCTGGGAGATGTCGTGGCTCCCGCCACGACACCTCCCAGAGGAGGGGAGGGCCCTGCTGGTGGTGTGCCCCTCTCGCTCGAGGCACCCTCCATCCCCAGCTCGGTGGAGGCACCCAGTGGCGGTGGTGCCGCTTGTTTTCTCCTCCGACGCCCCCCCCTCCCTGGTCCTCACCTCCCTGTAGACTTACGTCGGGCGTGTCCCCCTACAGGGGGATATTCGACGATTTTTTTTTTTTTTTTTTTTTCAAATAATCCCCAGACTATTTTTCCTATTTTTGAACCTTCCCCCTGTAGAGGGACAGGCCCGACTTAACTGTAGAATCGCCTGGTCCCCGCTCCTCCCCCCCCTGGTCCTCACTCTTCTCTCCTCCGACCCCTCTCTCCCTGGCCCTCACCCCCCTCCCCTGGTCCTCACCTCTTGGCCTTCGAGGGGCTCCAGGCTTGGCGACAGAGCACATAGAGGAGAAGGAGGAGGAGGAGGAGGAGGAGGAGAAGGAGGAGGAGGAGGAGAAGGAGGAGCAGGAGGAGGAGAAGGAGGAGGAGGAGGAGGAGGCGGAGGGAGGAGGAGGAGGAGGAGGAGGAGGAGGGAGGAGGAGGACGGAGGAGGAGGAGGAGGAGGAGGAGGGGAGAGAGAGGAGGAGGAGGGGAGGAGGGAAGGAGGAGGAGGAGGAGGAGGAGGAGGAGGAGGAGGAGAGAGGAGGAGGAGGAGGAGAGAGGAGGAGGAGGAGGGAGAGAGGAGGAGGAGGAGAGGACTCCTTGGTTCTCACCCTTCATGGAAGGGAGGAAGGGAGGGAGGAGGAGAGGAGAAAGGAGGAGGAGGAGGAGGAGGAGGAGAAGGGATGATGATGCTGCTGCTGCTGCTGCTGTCGATGATGATGATGATGATGATGATTGATGACGATGATGATGATGAATGACGAGGAGGGGAGCAGGAGGAGGAGGATGAGGAGGGAAGAGGAGGAGGAGGAGGAGGAGGAGGAGGAGGGAGTTGGAGGGAGGAGGGGGGAGGAGGAGGAGGAGAAGAAGGAGGAGAAGGAGGAGGACTCCCTGATTCTCACCCTCCATGGGAGGTAGAAGGAAGGAGGAGGAGGACGAGGAGGAGGAGGACGAGGAGGAGGAAGAGGAGGAGGGAGGAAGAGGAGGAGGAGGAGGAGGAGAAGGAGGACTCCTTGGTTCTCAACCTCGATAGAAGGGAGGAGGGAGGGAGAAGGAAAGAGAGGAGGAGGAGAATGATGATGATGAGATATGATGATGATGATGATGATGATGATGATGATGATGATGTGGATGATGATGATGATGATGACGCGATGATGATGATGATGGATGATGCTGGTGACTGATGATGATGATGAAAATGATGGAATGATGATGATGATGATGATGAGGTGCTGTGTGATGATGAGCTGATGATGATGATGATGATGATGTGATGATGATGATGATGATGATGATGATGTGATGAGGATGAGGATGAGGATGCGAGGAATGAGGATGAGGAGGAGGAGAGGAGCAGCGGAGGAGGAGAGGAAGGAGGAGGAGGAGGAGGAGGAGAGGGGAGGAGGAGGAGGAGGAGGCGGAGGAGGAGGAGGGAGGAGGAGGAGGAGGGAGGCGGAGGATGAGAGGAGGAGGGGAGGAGGACGAGGAGGAGGACGAGAGAGGAGGAGGAGGAGGAGGAGGAGGAGGATGGAGGAGGACAAGGAGGAGGAGGAGGAGGAGGAGGAGGAGGAGGAGGGGGAGGGGGAGGAGGAGGAGGAGGGGAGGAGGAGGAGGCAGGAGGAGGAGGAGGAGGAGGAGAGGAGGAGGAGGAGGAGGAGGAGGAGGAGGGAGGAGGAGGAGGAGAGAGGATGAAGCAACGAAGAGGAGGAGGAGGAGGAGGAGGTAGGAGGAGGAGGAGAGGAGGGAGGAGGAGTGATGGAGGATGGAGGCGGAGGAAGGAGGAGGAGGAGGAGGAGGAGGAGGAGGAGGAGGAGGACTCATCCCTGGCCTCAACCTCCAGGTCCTTCCCACCTTGGGTCCTCGCCCACCCTGTAGTTACCTCGGCCCCCCCCCCCCCCCCCCATTCCTCGAAGGTCGCGGGCAGGTGCCCCACGTCTCCTCCACGCCTGCCCGGACCCCTCCCGGGCTCCTCCTGGCCAGGCTCCCAGGCTGCGCCCAGGCTTGTCGACGAGAACCCCCGCAAACTTCTCATTCCACTTCCTCCTCCTCCTCCTCCTCCTCCTCCTTCCCTCCTCCTTTTCTCTCCTTGTACCTCATCCTCCTCCTCCTCCTCCTCCTCCTCCTCCTCCTCCTCCTCCTCGAAGGCGGCTCCCGCTGCGTGGCCCCGCAGCCATTTCCCCTTGCCCTCGGCGCGGGCGGGTCGGCGGGGCGGCCCGCGATCGGCGAGCCCCCAGCCCCGACGGGGCGCTCCACCACGGGCGGGCGGTCCCGCTCGCCTGCGTGGCACCGCAAGGCGCGGCGCCAGCGGGCGGCTTCTCGCTCACGCTTGCAGCGTGAGAGGGACATCGCGCGCCTGCAGGACCACCGCGGCAGTGCAGTGCCCAGGATGCCTGGCAACAAGCAGCAGCGGGGTGCAGCCTCGCCGTGGTCCACCTGCAAGAGCTGCGGAGCACATGAGTGGAACGCAGTCCTGCAGAAACAGTCTTGCAAGTGCAGCCGATGCGGAGTGAAAGTCGACCTCTACACGGGCAAGAGCAATAACTCCAAGGAAGGCAAGTCTCCTGGCGGTGGCAAGGGATCCAGCGACCCCGTCTCGGCCGAGGACAAGTCCATCCAGACCATGGAGGCCGCTCTCAAGTGTACCGAGGATCCCGCGCTCCGCAGGATGATCCAGTCGCAGATCGATGACCTCAGGCACAAGCAGGCTCAGCAGTCCGCAGTGCCACCTGAGGACGCGCTACGGCTGGCCGACGGCGCCGTCCGTGACGCTTCCGCCAAGCACGACCAGGCCATGACGCGGCTGCTCAAGTGTCGTGAGGCCTTGGAGGAGGCGCAGGAGAAGGAACATTTGGCCGCTCTCGTTCTCGCTCAAGCCGAGGACGCGAAGAAGCTCGCCGCGCAGGCCCTTGCCACCAAGCTGGGCGTCACGGTCCAGGACGGTGAAGGCGGCGCTGAGAGCAGGACCTTTTTTCAGATTACATGGGACGAAGAGTTCTTCCGCAATCTCGACAGCATGGAGGCCGGGCAGTCGGAAGTTCAGGAGCTTCGCAAGTTGGAGTCCGACCTCAAAGCAGTGAAGGACCAGCTTGCCACCAAGAACACGCAGGTGGGCGACTGGCTGCAGCGGGCCAAGGAGCTCCAGAGCCAGCTCACCGACAGGATGGCTAAGAAACGCAAGGGCGACAGCGGCACCCCAGCAGTCGCGGCGGCAGGCGGCGCCCCTCAGGCGGCTGGAGCCGCTGGCGCCCCGCCAGCAGCCGCGGCAGCAGCGGGCGCGGCCTCAGGCGGCGCGACGGCCGCTCCCCCAGCCGCCGCCCCCGCCTCGGCCGACCCCGAGGCGGCCAGGGTCGCTCGGGAGGTGCGCGAGGCCCGCATCCAGCAGGCCGCGGCCAAGATCAGCGCCTCCAAGGCCGCCGCCATGCAGGCATCCGAGGCGGCCAAGAAGGAGGCGGCTGGTGCTGTGGCGGCGCCCGCTGGCGACGGCAAGTGACGAATGGGCAGGAGCGGCGGCGCGGCTGAGCAGGCCTGTGCGCCGACGACCGCTCGGGGAGAGTCTGCTCCGCAGACTGATCTGCCACGGGGGACTGAGGTCGCCACGACCTCCAAGAGCCAGAGTGACACATTCATCTGTTTCTCCAATGTCACTGCCATGGGGAAGCAGGCCTGGGACTACGTGACTGGACCTGCTTCGACTCCGTTTCACTACTTCCTTTTGGTTGAGACTCACATCGAGTCCGCCAGTGACTTGCAGCACTGGAAGGGCCAGGCACGCAAGTCGCACCTCAAGCAGATAGACAATCCAGCTCGCGGCACGGGCCGCGAGCAGTCGGAGGCCACCAAGGGCAGGGCCAACGAGGGCGGCGAGTGGATCCTAGGGAGGCAGCATTTGCAGTTTCACAGGCTCCACGACACCGGCTCCGTTTGCCGCGACCTTACGGCTGAAGGCAGCGCCGCCCTGGATGGGTTCACGGTGGCGATCCTCAACCAACAAGGGTACTCCATCGTGCTGATCGCCTTCTACGGGCACTGCTCCGAGGGCCTCCACGGCAGGAACTTGGTGCGGTTCGCCAAGCTTGGGGCCCTCGTCTCCCAGCTGAAG